TACGTTGGCAGCGACCAGCTTCATATCAGCTTTAAACCTTTCGTGCATCATTTCAAAAGCACCAAAGGTGCCGACACAATCTGACCACGAATATCTCCTCACACCTTTGAACATCGCCTCCTACGGTTCTCTCTGCGAGCGGTCGACATGACAAGATCTTCATTAATGTTTTGCTCAAAGCAGTACCTAACAAACACAAGCAGCTGATTTAAACCTGCAACATTTATGCATAGTAAGTTAGTTACTGTGCACAACAAAACTATTTTGCATTGCCCATTCAGTCCTTCTGTAAATATTAAATTATATAGGCTTTTGTTTTGAATGAGGTTCCGTTCGGTGTAGGCGATGTGAAGATTGTCTGCTGAGAGGCTTTCACCAGTCATTCTGGTGCTGTAACCGCTAGTCAGACGCTGATGTACGAGCTACTGCGTGGAGGACCTTAACCTTGACATCTCCTTGGAAATTACGAGGTGCGATCGGAAAGTTTCCAGACTGTGTCAATAGAGGGCGAACCGGATGTAGTACGAGCTTCTGCCGCTAGGGGGTGCGGCCTACATTCATAGTGAATCAGTGTGCCAGCCGGCATCATCGAATTAGCATTTGTTTCTTAGTTACGGGCGTTTTGGTAGTGCGATTTCGGAATGGCGTGTGCATCAAATTTTGCCAAAGACTCGCCAAAACGGCTACGGAAACCTATTAAATGCTCAAGCAAGCATTTGGGGAGTCCGCAATGGGTCGTGCACCAACTTTTGTGTGGCATTCACGTTTTAAAAATGGCCGAACCTCTGTCGATGATGACGAGCGTTCTGGACGACCATCTTCGAGCACAACGCCCGAAAATGTTACGAAGATCGACGTCGTACCATCAACGACTTGTACGACATTGTTGGGATAGGCTTTGGGACCTGTCAGCTGATTCTAAAGGAAGAACTCCACATGCGACGCATCATGACAACGCACCAGCGCACACCGCCTTCAAAGTTCGGCAGTTTTTGGCCTCAGACACCATGGCCGTCATCCCACACCATCCTTATTCGTCGTGTGACTTCTTCCTCTTCCCAAAGATGAAAATTCAGCTAAAGGGAAGGCGATTTGAGACGATAGAAGAGATTCAGGCAGAATCGCAGATGGTGCTTGACAGGCTGGCAAAGAAAGATTTCCAGGGATGCTTCCAGGCTTGGCAGCGGCGCTGGGATCGTTGTGTTCACTCCCAGGGGAACTACTTCGAGGGTGATGGATGAATTTAATACCTGAGATAAGTGTACGGGTTTTTATACGCGCAGTCTGGAAACCTTTCGATCGCACCTCGTATGAATGGCAAGAAAGGATAAGAGATCATATTCGCAAGTTTCCATTAAAACTTACTGATGTGAGCCTTACGAATGCAAAATACGTTACTTAAGCGAAGAACTAACCCCACTTAATGGTACCTGCACCTTGTCATGGTGGTGGGGCTTGAGTACCTCAGTGACCCCAATAGCTACTGGTAGGGCCTCCCTAGCCAGATTGGTCGAGGGGGAGAGGTCAGACTAAGACAGGTACCCTGGTCCTCCAGGTTGGGGGTTGGTCGCAAGGCTAACAACCTTGCAACGTAAAAAGGAAGATGTTTCGAAACCTCAATCAAAGCCTCGGACAGACGGACCTAACAGAAGTACCGAATGGAAGAGGAGAATCGAGGAGGCCATGGACCGAATACGGACCGGAGAGCCATAGAAGAAGAAACGAAGAACTAAGCATCTTCAAAATGCACAAATTATTTTTTCAACAATATTGTCCTGAAAAATATTTAAATGTTCAAGCTTCGAGTATCCTCAATAAAACCTTTTCGGGCAATCAGCCGCGTCAACTGGTTTCCGTAGTCAACTTTGTCCCCATCATTAGGGTTCTGATTATGGGGAGAGAGAGAGTTGGTTCCCGAAACGTCGGTTTACTACGGTAACCAGTTGACGCGGCTGATTGCCCGAGAACATTTTATTGATTATACTCGCCGCGGAAGTCTCAAATCCTACATCTTCGAGTATCCGTCGTAAAATTAAGAATACTGCAGAAATTTCTTCGATGCACATTGGAAAAACCACGCGAGTAGCAGACGTTGTTCTATTTGCTAAGAACTGAGACCATTACTACAAAAATGAGACGTGAGACGCCTCGCGAGGAGCGATACGCAAATTGAAAGCAAAGATATCTTATTAAAAAAAGCACTACATGCCACGTAAAATGTTGACACAGTCTCTCTCTATTCTTCGAGTTTCAATAACAAATTTCCCACTTCCTAAACGCCCGTCAATAGAATTTACTACACGTAACAAAGTTGGGAGTTTAACTTCTATGGCGACAAAGAACAAAGTGGCGCTACGTTTATTTACGTGGCCAGAAATTGAAGTACGCAAAAGTGCTGTTGAATTCATCTAATGCCTACTTACGTATGTAACATAATTCCTGGCAATGTGAGGCAGTTTCACCTTTTCTCAGACAGATGTCTCTTCAAGGCAAATCTTACAACACACCATGACGCACATAACCTATAACTCCATGGTAAGTTTAGACAAACGTGGTAAGATTAATCGCCATGTTCCTATTTATGGACACAGCCATCGTCCATGAGACAGATTTTTTGGTATTAATAATCACATAATTAAAACATTTAAATGTTCACAGCCTGGGAAGAAATAATAACAGAAACATTTTGATGTCCTTTCAGTAAATGGCAACCTATTTTAAGAGAGATTCTCGAAAGATCTTTGCACAATATGTTACGAAAAGGGATGTAAAGATTCAGATCTCAAAGATCAATCTGTACAAAGCCGCAAGACGTTTAAAATGTTGTTCAGATATCTAAAAATAAGACTCACGGGCAAACGAAATCTAATGTGACAGTCACGAGAAACAATGACGAAAACTTTCCTCAGTTTTGTAACGTTGTATCCCGTTAATTTCAATAAAACGCTGATGGAATATTGCACAGTTCTGAAATTTTAAACAACACTAAGAATCAAAGAAACCGACTCCAGATCATCTGACCTTGAACAGCTCTACTTCTATCGTTCCGTCCTGTTCAAAATTACGTTCTTCACGTCTTAGAACGTCCACCGCACAACGAATTCGAAATATCCGAACTTTTAAGATCTGTATTTTGCAATTCTTTGCTGATGTCCAGAAAAATCTACGTCAGATTCATTAGGGGGAAAAAACCACATATGTTCTTGCCCTCACCTCACGACACAATTGCTACTAACAGCACCACTACATAACTCATAAGCACTTGACAGTTTTCTGTTTTAAACTAACTCCCTAGTAGCACAACCTGCAGGTCCAACTCCATCCATTTACCATCCTCACAGCCCACTTCCCTAAGATCCATTTTGATAGTATCTCCCATTTCCTTCTTGGTCTTCCCAGTGGTTGTTTTCCAGAAGGACTCCCTACAAAAATTCCTGTATGAACCCCTGGCCTCCCCCCCCCATGCGTGTTACATGTCCAGCCAATCCGAGCCTCCTAGATTTCACTGTCCTCAATGTGCCAGGTGACCCGTTCAATTCACGCAACTCCTCGTTACTCAATATTCTAAATTCCCCCCACTTATTTCATCCCTTCTAGGTCCAAATATCATCCTGAGCACTCTGTTTTCAAACACTTGTAATCTACGTTTTTCCTTCAAGGTAAGAGACCATGTTTCACAACCATACAAAACAAGCAAAATTATTGTTTTACATATCCCGATCTTCAAGTGTTTTGCATAGTAAACGAGATGGTAACAGTTTTTCAATTGAATTAAACAAACGTTTCTTAATTGCATTGTTATTGTTCCCAGACACTTAAATTTTAAAACATTTTTCGCCATTGTTCCTTATGTTGATCCCGTTTTGGGACACAATTATTTACGAAATTCCATTTGTATGTACTCGTTCAAACACGACTGCAACAGAGCAGGCTTGGTAACAATCAACACAGTCAAAATATTCCTTTCCCACGCTTTGTAAGTATGTGCTTTGCTTCGAAATTGTACTCTATGCTACAGGTCTCGTCTGGTCTGTGTATACGAAAATTATACTCGTCCTACTGTCAAACACGTCCGTTATTTCGTAGACCACTGCAAAGATACACAAGCCTTTAATATTCATCAGGCACTACTAATAAGATTCAAATTACACCCGTAACATTTTACATCACAATTGCTCACACTTATTGAATGACATTTTCTGTAATAAGTCTGTTTGTTTCTGAAATAATTCCTCTTTCTGATAAATTCAATTTCGGAGCATAACGTCATTCATTTTAACTATGCAGTGGAGAGGCATTAGTTAATGCCCCCAAGGACTGAGAGGCGTGGTACTGCGGAAACACGAGAGTTAAAACAGTTATTTCGGTCCGGTATAGAACCACAGACTTTTCATCACTAATCTAAACGGTGTTCTAAGATTTGCGAAATTTTATTACAGTATTGCCAATTATTATTAATTCTGGGCCATTTGCGCCTCTATTTTTCCCGTAGTTTAAAACGGGACGGAGCATGCTACTAGAAATAACGTTCCCAGCCATGTTTTCGCGTAAACACCATAACACAGTGCCAATAATCTGTGGGCTCTTTTACCTGCTGTAGCTGACTAAAGTTCTATTTTGTTCATATAAAAGAAACGATCATAATGCCAAGTGACGTTCAAAACCATACTTTTGTGTACGTTTTCAAATGTTGTCCCTAACAAAACCGAAGTTATTCATTGGTCGAGGAATGAGTAGTATTCGCACATTTCAAACAAACTGTAGCATAATCCAAAACCATTCGTCACGTGTGGCGGACAAGACATTCCAGGAAATCGGTTTCATTTGACTAAGAACAATAGCTACTATAAATATTATCACAAAATCTGTCATTATAAGAACTATTTAGTTAAACACGTATTAATTGTCTTTCAGCAACATTCTGAATGGTCTTTGACACTTCTTAAATTACTTAAATAAATATTTGCGGGAATTTAAAATTTCGAATCCATGCCACTTACCATATGAAATCTTTGCAATGGCTGCAAAATGTAGGCTGCTTGAAGAAACGTGGGATGAATTTATGGTCCTTCACGTTGTACACATTTTTCTTTTTCAGAGCTCCCTTTCTACCTCGAAGTCTCAGACCAAAAACTGTATTCAAATCTAGGGAGCCATCATCACTCACACTCGTTTCCTCCTCCGCCATGTCTGCGAATGACCAATGTCACTACTCAGCAGCAAACCGCTTACAGCAAGGCACTGCGCCGCCAATTATCGATGAGTTGCTATACAGATCAAGTTCATTCCCAAATAAACTTTAAATGAACATTTGCTTAACAGTTAATAAATAACTGTTGTTGTACCGAATTTAAATTATGCAATAAACGTAATTCGTTCCAAATTGTGATCGTCATTATGTTAAATTTGTCGCTAGTTGTACCTGCTAACAAACTGTAACCACTTGGAACCAAACAAAGTAAATTAATTTTGTGAAGTGGAGATTGATACGCGAACTTTAAGTATAGCAAAATTCCCGAAACCATGATCCTACAAATTTCCCCTTCTGAACTAATGTCCGAAACAGGGAAATATGTTGTAACATTTATTTGAATGGAAATTAGAAGAACTGGATTGGAAAAAAGAAGGCATATTATTCTTTAGCTGTATACAATGGAACTTCAAGACGTATACTACAATAAAGCAGAATACGTTGAGACGGTAATAGAATAATGTGGATTGTACCTAACCTCTAATTTAATAATTACCTCCGTTATTCTCTGTTGTGTATATGGATATTCAGTGTGCAGCATTTAGGTTATAATAATGTGTCACTATGTAATTAATTCCAAATAATAGTCTTTCTTGAGAAGTTAATAGTCACTCAGCTGGTCTGATTCTCACCTTGTCTGGTAAACTAAAGGTCGTTACCGTGTTCATAAAAGCCCAGGCAAGCCCTATGTAACATTCGTAACATGATCATTTTATGGTGAGTGGTTGTTTGTCAAACAGACACCCAATACCCAAAATTGGAGAACTTTTGTCTGTGTGCAACTGTTTCTACAGTATCTTATATCCTCAGGGTGTGGTAACAAGGGACCGCTTAAGAAATAATGTGTCACTGATCAACTTTTATTACCAGTTTCCAACACTTGTGAGTGTTCTCAGATCTTGTTATTGAGGGGTGCATGAAATTATGTATTGCAGGCATCAGGCAACAAGGTGAGCCGTCAAACAGTTTTATGTGGATCACAGAATATAGTCTTGAGTGGCAAAGTAATAGTACAGTCTGATGCTATTATACGTGGAGATCTTGCCAATGTACGTGCTGGCCGGTACTGCATCATCAGCAAACATGCAGTTATTCGGCCACCATTCAAGAAATTCAGCAAAGGGTAATATTTCTATATGCAGTATATGTGCTAGAATATGTCATTCCCCAAGACCATCAACAAATTAGTATCACATTAAAACTATCAGCACACCAGTCAAGCTGTTGGTCCCAATGTCCTATCCCTATCCCAAAACAGATGAATTCAGTGTAAACCCTCCAGCTCACCTAAGATCCAGTTTCATGTTTTCCTCCCATCTCTGCCTGGGTTTTACAAGTCAGGCATAAGTTTCTGGATCTCAACATAAAGTATCACCTCCTGACTGAATTGTTTCTGCAAAAACTTGATCAGTAACTGTTGCTTTATATATTTTCAACTTTTCATTGGCAATCTCTCTCTGGAAAGAGCTAGGTTGAGGTACTCTGCAGTTAGAAAGTGCTTCCTTATGTCTAATAATTCTGAACATTTTTTACAACCCATAGCTTGTGTTCCTTCAACACACACCTAGCCACATTTTGCCTGAAATTTTATGTTCCCTCTAATATTTTACCAAGACATATTGATCAGTACATTATCATCTAAGTTTGTCAGAGCTGTTTGAGATTTTGACCTGATACTACTTTTAAAATCTGCAATGTTTAGCTCCTTGAGATATCTCCTCATATGAAACTTTGTTGAAGGCAGCTGTCTTCTGGGATGTAGCACTGTGTAGTGTGTTACAGATTGACTAACATTTTAGAAGACCTTGCTGCTTCCATTATCAGTCTGATTATGGAGGCAGTAGGCTCATCTTAAATGTCAGTTAGTATTTTCCAGACTTCACAGTGGTTTTTCGTAAAAGACAACCATCTTCTGACCTCTGAAACGTTGGTTAACATCGACCAGACTACACAGCGCAACAACCCAGAAGACAGAAATCTTCATACTCTGATGACGGAGGCAGTATGACCTCTGAAACGTTGGTTAACATCGACCAGACTACACAGCGCAACAACCCAGAAGACAGAAATCTTCATACTCACCGCTGTGAGAGCCTCAAGTCTTACATCTTCTTGCATGTTTGCCATCTCACAAATTTTTGTGTTGTGACTTATTTATCAGTAGCCAGTATCAGACATCATGTATGCTTGATAGTCGTCTTCCGTCTGTCATTAAATCTCATCAAGCTGCAAAACTTTTTCTACAATTTTCAGATTTCTCCCATTTTTCCCTTTCTTATCTCCTTGTCTTGAACCAATAATGCACAGTGGCTGCAAACCTCTGTCGCTGGTGTCGATTCGCGCGTGTTGCGTTGCTGCTTCATTTCTGCTGATGTCGCACTACACATTGTGTGTCTTCGATGTAGATTCTGCCTTGCATGTAGAGGATGTATACGAGTGTTTCACTTTAGAGACAGTAAAAAGTTTTTGTTTGCTTTTCAGAGTAGCATTCTTTCCCCTTCACATGGGTGATCACGTTTTTGTTGGCGAACACTCTGCAGTAAATGCTGCTATAGTTGGTTCGTATGTCTACATTGGGAAAAATTGTGTGATTGTAAGTATGCATTTACTGACTCTTAATTCTAGTTCTACAAATTGAAACTATTTGTCGTTAAATCTGAAGGCAAGTATTTAAAACTACACAATTTTTTGATCCTCATAATAACAATTCTTGCACATTTTTATGTATTAAAAAGGGGAAAGGCTTATACCTGAGATTTTTTTTATTTTCAAATTCTGGAACTAAGCTTTGGTAAGATTTTGTAAAATGTTTGGAACAATAAGGAAAAGATAATAACCATGTAATTATTTATTTTGGTGTGGTTCTTAGAAGCATTCCACACAGAACAGTTTCGTGTGCAATAACATTTCGTTATTTGCATTTTTATCTTATTTTCTATATGAGCCGGGATAGCTCAGTCAGTATAGTGACTAGCGGGGTCCTTTCCCGGGGGTAAAGCCGGCCGGGGCGTGATGCTGACCACTCACCCCCATCTAGTGCCGAGGTCAAGGAAGAGAGGAGCTATACCTCCACTCACCCCAAACGCCTACATGGCGTATAGTGGGACAAACTTTACTTTACTTTTTGGTGTGGTTTTCTTAGAAAAGATAACGCAAATTGTGGTCCAAGTTAGATTAAATATTTGTCTTGTTCCATGGGCCACTGGAAAAAAGAAACAGCAAACAGACAAAGATTTATTTAACTGTTAACAGCATAGTAATAGAGCTATTGGCAACAAATAAGATAAATTAGTTAATTAATTATTGAAATGTAATACACTTTAATTTTGTTAAAATTAAACACAGGCTTGCAGGGTACATCAGAACTTCAAATCTATGAAGTTTTATGTACTCTATATAATTCAAAATAGCATTTGAAATTTCAGTTGGTCCCAGTTCTTTCTGATTGCCTAAACTCTTGAGGAGGCAATTTTTAAATTTACTCTATTCTTTGTGATGGTGTACACTTCTGAATTTTTAGAAACTTCTCTGTTGAAGTAAGTCTTTTCAGGTACTTTACTTCTGAAACATGAAGGTGCATTGCCTTTTTTCCCCCTTGAACTTGTGTTAGCCAAAATTCACCTTGAAGAATGACTTCATTTTGCCGAGTTGGGTTGATAGTACTATTCATCTCATCTTCTGATTCTCTGTCAGAAGAATCTTATGTGGAAATCTTGGTAAATGAAGATTCTTCTGAGACAACTTTTTTGCTTTCTTGGTATCATTTCACAGTCAAGACGTAATCTGTAGTAGTTGATGCATTTTTAAAAACCCACTACAATTACTACCACTGTTACTGCTGCTACTGCTACTGCTAAAGTTGTGGAAGCATGGAGGCAAGCTTGTTGTGGACTAGGCAGATCTGAGCAAATAGCATTGTGGCTGACAAAGATGTCTTTTTGACACAGACAGTCCTGGTTCGAGTGTAATTAGGAACAAAGACAAAAACTTTTCTTTAGAATGCTTATGTATATGTCCTAATTTCAATGTGTAATTTGTTGTATGAAGGGTCGCAGATGTGTTCTAAAGGACTGCTCCTTTATCGAGGATAACACTGTTCTACCACCCGAGACTGTGGTACCTTCTTTCACCCGATATGGAGGTTCACCTGGTGTCTGCATTGGGGAATTACCTGAATGTATGCAAGAATTAATGCTGGATTTTACACGCAACTATTATCAGCATTTCCTGCCAGCAAAATGAATCTATATGTATTTTGTTTCCTTCCTTTTCTCTTTATATAACAAAGTTAATGGATGTAACAGCAATATTTACAATCCGTAATTTTTTTATATTTCAGATCAGCTGCCAGTAACATGTAGATCATCCTTTACCAAATTACTGGGTCCAGTACTAATCATATTCATTTACAGTAAAAAGTTAAAGATATTTGTCACTGGACCCTTATGTACATTTTGTGCTTACATACATTAGACATATTGCTTTATTTTTGAGAATTAATTTTCCTGATTCTTTTTGTAAAATTGTTTGTAATATATTTTCAATCTACTTCTACTTTCTTTTTCATATATTCAATAAAGGTACAACATTTATAGTTTATTGTGAGAATTTTTTTAATTATTTTTAAGGTATCTTGAATGAGAAGAATGGTTTACAAAAAATATATAAAATTTGGAAAAGTACTCAATGTAATTGGTATTCCTAATACCTGAAAGTCATTTAAATGCATGAACTTCACACCCAACTCCTAATTACTAATTAACCTTTTTAGTATAGGGTATTTAAATTCTTCAGCTACTGAACTGCCAGCTGGATTGTAGCTCAGGCTAACTAGTAATGGTATTAGTACTGAGAAAACTGAGAGTGCTTAAATACTGTTGTAGAAATTCCTAGATAGAAAATATATTGACAATTCTTTTCTTCTATTTCAAATTCTCTTTTTTCCAAAACATGTTATAGATTCCCAAACTAAATTAAATTCAGAATATATAAACCTAACTTTATAGTACGTGTCTTTCATTATAACAAAATTTCATTTGTATTGAAGATACAAAAACAAGTCTTTTCGGAAATCAACTTTGCACCTCAAGCACTGAAAATCTGTAGTCTCCTTTTCTCTTTACTAAGAGAAAACAGCACCATAAACATGATCCTGCAGGTAGTCAACATCTGGGGCACTGAACTTCAAGATGAAATATTCTATTGGCTTGAGGGTTTGATCTTCCTCTTGGACTGAGGTTCCCTTGCATTTATTTTCAACAAATTTTGAATTAAAGTCAAATGAAATTTTTGGTTCTCTGTTTTGCCACCATAGAATTCTGGAATGAAATAACTATTCATTGTTAGATTCAACAGATGTATGAACAATCGTCTTCAACAGTAGCAGGTTTATGAGCTCTCCCATATTCATCTCAGAATTGCCTTCTGCTGCTGGTTTATGCACGTGTCAATAGGCACATCTTATTTACTTTTCCAAATTATTGCTGACAAGAAACCTCTCACTCCAGTACATATGTCATCCTGTTTAAGTTTTAGTGTCTAATTACCAGTTAATGGCAGTTCCCCAACACTTCATAGCTCTTGTGTGCAACTCTTCAGATGAATCCAGTGATAACAAATTGTACACATGAAGTTTATAGCCAGCCCCTTCCATTTTCCTACGGTAGATGTCAATGCGCATTGCATTTTGTCATCCTTTCCCAAGAAAAAGATCATATTGTGACTGTAACCAATCATATTGCAAAGTTTGTAGTTATTTTTCTTGGGAGTGTATTGCCTGAAAATATCTCTTCCTTTGAACAGCGTAATGTCTTTATCTGTAACTGACGGATTGTAAAATCTAGCATACGTCATTCGGAATATTGAAGCTTCTCATACTTATTGTTAATCTTGTCTGGATGATTCATATTATTGTAAATATATATAAATCTTAATAAGTAAAAAAAGTAAAGCAGTAATAACTTCACAGATATATTTTATCAGCACTATTATCATTACTAGTTAAATCCCCAACTTAAAATCTGGCTGACAGAGAGGTGTTTAAATATTAAAAGTTAAGCTTCACAGAAAACAAATTTATGTCTATTATATGCTGTGTACGTAACATCCACAAATGACATCTGTCCATCACAAATCAGAAATGTTGTTTTTCAGTAATATTAATGACATCCTCATGTATACTTACTAAGCCATATCAAAGTGCAGTACAGAGAAAGTACGCTCCAACCTCTGAAGATTCTGAGATGGCAACCCTGTTCCAGTTTTTTTCTTATGGCATCGCTTCTGTTGGTCGATGTCTAGACTGTCCTACTTGTAATTTTCCTACAAGTCTAGTCCCAGTATTCTATCAGAAATGTTGTAGATTTTCATAGTTTTAATTTACCAAAGCCATGAATAAACATTTAAATATTAATTTTAAAAAAATTAATAAGAAATTCTGTAAATACAATATTGTAAATGTAAAGTTTCCCTTTGCCAAAGGACTACACTGTAGTGTCGTAGGTGAAACTGTCCATTCTTGACCTTACCTTGGTATTATAGATGAAGATCATTGGTCAGTTTCATACACCAGTCACTTCACTCCAACAGAAGGAGTTCAGTGGCTACTAAAGGCTGTGTGAACGCCACTGCTGATCAGAACATGATGGTAACAAGAAGATTCTATCCTTGCTAGGAATCTCATGCCAGCAACCCAATCGCAGCTCATACTGTCATTTACGTAATATAATACTGTATTGTAGCTGTATTATAGTGCATAAAGTATATGAAAAATTCACCATTTTGGTTTAAATTAGAACCTTGATAACGATTCAGAAAATAAGACATGGGAAACAAAACAAGTTGTCAGAATATGAGCCTTGAATATTGTAATACCAAAAATAATTTTAGCAACTTGCAACAATATCATAACACACTGTCACTTCTAACAAACCACAGTAGTTGTATTACTTCAGTTCTTTCTACACATTATATCACAGTAAATGAATTTCTGTTATTCTTAAAATAGTGCAACCAAACAATCTTTCTCAATACCTGCCAAAATTTGTGATCTGCAAAACACATTTCCAGGCGTATTCCTGGAAGCACGTAACACACATTCTGTTATGAAATCAAGTACAAGATTTTTATTAATTTTCTTACTCTCTCACTCACACATCTATCCATCTTCATTTTATACAGATATATACAACACATCATCAGCACACATAAACCATTTCTGATGTTAATGAAGCAGTATCATATGACAACCCCAGTGTGGTCGTGTAGTTTTGTAACAGATATATTTCCTCAAGCCACTGTTTCTCAACGCGTGTACCACGACAATATGAATACAAATTAATGTTTACACACTGAACAGTCACAAAATGTGGTAACAGCGGTGAGATATTGTTCAGTCTTCTTTTGTTATTCTATCAGCATGTGCCACATTTCATTACACTCTTGCTCTCTCAACATTTTTACCAATTTTCTTTTATCTATTATATAAATGTACATTTTCAGAACATCATTTAATCATAAAACTTCATTTGCCTGCTAGTCACACATTCCTAAAAAAACTACTGATCTGTTTGAACTTTCCTATGAACTAAAAAGTATGTTACAATTAAACTAAACACAGGTAAACCTCGATTTGCGCCGATTCAGAATAACAACGCTTTTGAAACCAGCAAGTCTAAGAGTAAAAAAAAAAATTTTTACTATTATTTATAACGCTTTACAATGTTTCTCATACTGATTCTTATACTAAATCGTAATTCTTACATCGATGATTTTGAATAAAAATTATAAATAGTCACCTCTGCACTCATTGCTAAGTAGTTGCGTGATAATCTCCTAAAAATCCACCAACATTGCGCAACAGTGACGTGAGCATTTGCGTTCAGCCTGATAAGGGAGTAAGGAAAAATGTGCTCAGTTCGCTTCTAGTTGACACACTGAATATGCTGAAAACTGTGCGCTAAACGTGTTTGTGTTGTTGTTCGACCACTATTCTGCAGTAGCAACTGTTTTATATTTATAAATTGTAGAAGAGCCACCATGTCCGGTAAGAGAAGTGAATGTGTTGCTAAAAAGTTGCGTAGGTTTATTGCGTTAGAAGATAAGATGGACGTAATTTGTAGAATAGAAGGTGGTGAAACCCGTCGTAATGTATGCAGAAGTATGAAGTTGCCTCCTTCATATAAAATAAAACAGTCAATGCAAAAGGCTACGAGAGTAAGTGCAACACAAGCGAGTTATAGCAGAAGTAAACTTTTAGAAAGAATGGAGAAATTACTGTTGCTATGGGTGGATGACATGAATCGAAAAAACATTCCCTTGACTCAAATTGCTATCACGGATAAGGCGAAGTCAATTTTTGAAGAACTTAAATGTTTGGGTGCCAGGAACGCATGTCATTGACTTCCCACTGATTTACATTATAAAAAAAGTTTGAATTTACGCCGGTTCGTCCAGGAACGTATCCCCGGCGTAAATCGAGGTTTACCTGTACATGAAAGGAATGAAATATGAATGGTAATAACAATGCGCAGTTTAAGCATGTATGAATACATACACACGTAACTTATAATAATATGGTAAGAAAATGACTGACTTCTGGGATGTTAAGTTATGTTGTGTTGTCTCACAGAAACTGACATGTTTTAAAGATCCTTACATCCTCCATCATCACAGTGATGAGATCACTCACTGCCCTCATGATAGAAGCAGTAAAGCAACTCTGAAGCATCAGTCAATTTCTATTGCGTGGCACATCACAGAAGACAGTCACCTTCATACCTCGTGCTTTTTATACTTTATTTAACAGACTTTCAGTATTTCAGACTATAGAGTGTCAAATTAGAGGATGATGGTGAATAATGAATTGGAAAGGATGTGGAAGAAAGCCTAATTTAAGGCACTAACCTGGAATTTGTCTGGAGGGACTGAGGAAAACCATGACAAAACTCAGTCAATTCCCCAGACCACGATTTGAACTCTGGACCCCCAAAATATGAAGCAAGAGTGTTGACCACTCAACCAATGGCGTTTGGTCTGTGAAATTTCACAATGTGGTACCACTAAATAATGAACCACATTTTATTAGGCACACATAAGAAGTATTGAGAAACGATGACACCGGTGAATTTTTTTAAAAGTATACTTGTTACAATTTCAAGAAAAGTATTAAGATTTAAATGCACAACAAGTATGATAAAAGATGTTGATTTTCAAAAAATACCAGGCGGCAATTTTTTTTTTTTACATTTTGTTTTTTACTTAAATTAAGATGTGAAAAATTATACACATAAAGTCAATTGCTACTCGGAGAATAAATCACTGAGATTACTACTTCAATGAAATAATGGTTATAAAATAATATAAAATGGATTAACACTTATAATGACATTAAAGAACAATGATGAATAGAAGAATGTGAATTGTGGTAACCATCCTGTACGTCAGAGTGCTAAAAACTGTATACAGAGATTATGCTTTGTTTTGAAATCAGTAACAAGTAGCCTCAATAAATTTCCAAGTTTTGAAGAAAGGAACAAATCAAGAAATAATGTTACAGTTACAATACTTGTCATACAGTATCACTATTACTTGTTTTGAAACAGTGTCCACAATACAGCCCGGAGCTGCACCACTGCATTGTATATCTTTACTAAGGTCAGTAGTTTGTGGTTTGCAGCATCATACCATCCTTTTCCACATCACATTTGCTCTTGCCATTTGTTTGTACCTCGTCGTTATCTGGATTGTCCCATGCCTGTCTCACACCCGAGCTACATAACAAGTAGAACCCAGCGCAGACAATGTAGACGCCTGATGCGATGAGGAATACTGCTCTCCATGCTGCCTGTGTGGGCTGTACAACAAACACGACCATAAATGCCACTACTATATTGGTAATACTGCAGTATAAGAAATTTGCACCTCACTAAATAAATTTTCACACAATTTCAATAACTTGTACAGAATAAGCTGTTCTAACTAAATCAGGTACATATCACAAAAGTTATTGTCAACGAGTCCTAACATACACAGCTTTTTCTTCTTCTTTATTACGCCGTCTCCTTTACAGGAACAGGATCCTTCCATCCTTTTCTCGGACTGGGAACTGTTCATATACGTTCTTGGCAGATGATCCAGAAGTGGTTTGCCATTGCCTTCTTCTGTGTGTGAATGGAGTAATTGTTGACAGGTCCATATGAACAGGGTCCTTCCATCCTTTTCTCGGACTGGGCCCTGTTCATATACGTTCTTGGCAGATGATCCAGAAGTGGTTTGCCATTGCCTTCTTCTGTGTGTGAATGGAGTAATTGTTGGGATGCCACGGAGAAACTGGGAAAGCCCCAGAGGAAAACTCCGTGTTGCCTAGACCACGGCCTTGCCCAACACAAGTTATAAATTCGGGCACCGCCGGGAATCTAACCCGGGACCCCAGGATTACAAGGCCAGCATATACAGAATTTTGGGTAGTCTCTAATTTGTATTAAATACATGAATGTACACTCCATAACAGAAATGAAGCGCTTGAAATTTTCTAAGACCAAACTGGAAGCGATGTAAGCATACAGCTGGCATCATAAATTAAGTCATTAATTTCTTTGTATTTGTCCATATGTGGCTTTTTTCTACCCTTCATTAATTACAGTTATTACAGACATCTATTAAGCAATGCACAACACTGAACTTACCCGTTTATCTGTAATGTAGCCCGCAGCCATGGGGGCAAGGAGACCGGCAAAGTTGGCAAGGCAGTTGGTGAAACTCATGAGGATTCCAGCAAAGCGTGGTGAGATGTCCAGATGGTTCACTTTGAATCCTGAGTAGATGCCACCATTTAGACCAACACCAATTGTGAGCAGTGCAACGGTCAGAGGAGGATTGCAGCCTGTGTATGAAGCTGCAATCAGCGCCACTGCTGGCCCAAACTGACCTGCAAGATACAACAATCACATCTCGTTCATACTTTGATGCCTGTCTGTGAAACAGCTACATCACTTTAATTTCTTAAACAAGAGACGCACAGAAGTTTGGTGATCATTTTAGGCACCAATATTTAAACTGTTTTAATTTCACAAGTATATGTATTATTATTATATATTATATCACTATACTAACGGCGTAGGAATGTAGTGACCCCATCGCCCAGTGGGATGCCACTGCAATTAGCCACCCGAGTACTGGTGGGAAAACCAGAACTACAGAGATGGTAGGAAATGACCAACCTCAGCCTCAACACAGAGACGGCCAGCCAGGTGGCTTAGGAGGCAGCCCCTCCAAACCTGGCAACCAGTAATTGGGCCCATCACCCACACTTGGTTTTTAATATGATTCAGAGAAACAAAGATTGCTCGGCCGGACAGCTTCCATGGAGAGAATGGAGGTGGACCGAGCAATCAACCCCGACGATATAAAGGCAAAAATGGGAGATGAGAAAGAAGAATAATATCACTATACTAACCCGCACAGTGTGCGTGTATTTATAAGGGAGAGTGTGATTTGAGATTCTCACAGCAGAGTATGGCTGTCTTCTGCGATATCGCACCATGCAATCTGGTAGATGCCGACTTACATTCCACAGGAAAGCGAAATGGGAATGCCAGACATGGCAGCAAATGGAGTGTGTGTAAAAAAACTGGGAAGAAGAAAGAGGTAGTGTGTGTCCTTAGACATTGGCAATGAGACGAGCTTACTGGGGAATTCAAGAAAGCAAAGAAATCAACAAGTTGGAGACCAGAGTTCATTGATAGAAGATTTACAAGCATTGAGCCAGAAATTGGAATGAGAAGGAGAGCTACAACTAAAGTTAATGATGGGCTACACTTAAAGAAGTTTAAAGTGAAATGGAAGAGATCAGTGATGGAATATGAGAAGTAAATCATAATCTGGAGCGTAGTAAAGATGAGAGATGGTACTATAATTTAAAGTGAAAGTATAGAATTTAAATGGTAAGACTAATGCAAAGATGTTCAGAAGTGAACATACGACCAGGGAGTCACGTCCAACATTGCAAACAGTAACCAACGGGCAATGTTTCTTAGACAAGTTTTCAAAATAAATTCAAATAAAACTTAAGTTTTATTTACAAAATCAAGAATGAGAACTGGGCTTAATAATTATAAGCCACAATTATTAAAATGCTTGATTCACTGTTTAACACAATGCAAAGAAGGCTCACCAAGGCTGTTTATAACTTTTCTTGTGACAGTGTGGGTGAACCTATGACTTGAGATCATCCAGTCGGCTACATGACTTATAAACATGGAAAACAGCCACATGGCCAGGTACGGAAGTGCTGACAGAAGACCATTCTGAAAGAGAGAAGCAATTAGAATGTTACTCTTCAGTGATATCTACATGCACGATACGATACTGTGCGCGTGTGTAGTTCATAACCGACTCCATGGAGCAGAGAATTTTGAGAAGCTAATAGCTGTGCAGCTAAACAGTAAATTTCCCACCTCTTATGAAACATAACAGTCCATTACTGTGTCCACAAGACCATGCCACTCTTCCCTATCCTGAACCGGTTTAATCCAGTCCACACCCTCCTACCCTCTCTGTGTATCAAGAATTTGAATAACATCCTCCAATCTAAACCTAGCTCTTTAATATGATGTCTTCCCTTCAGATTTTCTGACAGATCACTGAATAATTTAATATATTAACATTTTTGGAGAAATACATATCAAGGGAGGTAGACAAGTAATATATCAAGATTAATTATGGATTTTCTCGAAAGACATTACATGACAAAACAGAAAGAAATATGAAGAAATATAAAGTAGCAACAATTTAACAAATCAACAACAGCACAGGGCAATAAAATGATAAAAAAGGCCTGAAGAAAATTTCATTGCTATTACAACACTTTGACAACAATTATTATATGAGCGATAATGCATTTTCTATCTATTATAAAAATTTGTGATTTCGTCATCGTCAATAAATTACGTCATCAACAATGTCAACTATAAACAAACTCGGCATTGTTGTGGAACACAACAATGTCGAGTTTAGTGTCTTACTCAAGATTTTAAAATGCAACCAACCCCCCCGAAGGAGGGGTTGGTCAAGTGTTTTAACCCTCCATTCGGGGGGTTTAGTTTAGTTTCTTACACAAGATTTTAAAACGCAACCCCCCCCCCCCCAGAAGGGGTTGGTTGCTTTTTAAAAACTTGACCACCCCCTCCGAGGAGCTCCGAAAGGAGCGTTCTGCCCTAGTAATTCAAAATACTACAGTATATCTAGACTCACTGGTTGAGAAACACTGAATTATGAACATTCTCATCAATAACTCAATACTTACTGCTGTGCCGAGTATCCTGTATTGGCAGATACAAAGGGTTTTGTGCCCATATGTATTAACGAAGTTAGACAACACAGACCATCACTTTACATGTAGGGCCAAATACATGTTTTAAATACAATCCAGTAATCAATGAGTTTGACTGTACTTTCTATAAGCAGCTGGACTTATCTGTTGTGATAAGTCACGCATAATCACAACTTTGTTCAGTTTTCAGAAACTATTCACTCCTGCAAAGTAACGGCAACTTAACAAGAATTATGTTTGTATGTAAACAGGCCCTTATATCTGGTTCACAAGTATGAGTGGTAAGAGAATGATTATATAAGAGTGAACAATCAAACAAAATAGTGATACAGTATTGTAGAAAACAAGTGGAAACCTAGAAACCTGTAATTCAGTTTGAAGTACATATCTTTTCCAAAAAATGTTTTCTGGAATTTTGCGTACCACATTTGCCTTAATGTTCAGATTCAATCCTTATTGCTGCAGATGCAAATCCAGTGATGCCAAGTGCACCACACTACATGCATATCAGTGGAAAGCCTTTGAAAAGCATCTGGAGTGTTTCCATTAAATATTTTTAACAAATTAAGTAAAACCAATCCTCAATTAGCAGATAAGCAAGTATAGAAACTAACTCGTGCATTTTGTAGCGTATCTGCAAGTACTGGGGACAGTGCGAGAACAGAATTTAAAGCTTCGGGCAAACTGAGAATAACAGGTAAGAAGTGTCAACATAAAGAAAGGGCTGGCAAGTAAGACATTTCTTTGTTTATTTGTTTATATTTGTTTAAATCTTGTCAGTCTAATCACAATAAAATTCCTATTAAATATTAAAATATTACTATAATTAACATTTAAATATTTAATATATTTTAAATATTTAAATGTTAATTATAGTAATATTTTAATATTTAATAGGAATTTTATTGTGATTAGACTGACAAGATTTAAACAAATATATATTTATCACAATATGACGCAACTTTATCATCTTAAGACATTTCTGTTAAAACTGAATCTGGAGAAAGGTTCGTGGACTCTTCTTTAAAAATTAACTGCTAACCATGGACAAAGTGTTCGTGTGTAAACTCAAATAGTGACTTATCTAATTTTTGTAGATCCACACTCTACAGACTGTACATATTCAAGTTTTCTGTCTTAAGGAAAATTTATGCATTTACATATATTATGAAATATAAGTTATATGATCCCTACAACACAGTAAAATAAAATATTTACTAAAGTACAACAATGTTGCCACAAATTATGGCATCCTGTACCTTCCAAGCACATGAAAGTTAACATTATGCGTGCAGTCGCCTTTGCTTAGCAAATGAGGTATCGGCCTGGGTGGAGGGATTCATTTGTTGCAGTGTGTTAATGTTTACATTGAGATTAAATTAAAATGAAATGAACTCTGTTAGTAGCATACTCTATTCAGATTATTAGAGTCTTGAAGTTTATGGTCATTTCAGGGGTGCTTGCTGCCTCCACCATCAGAGCAATGTTGGAGGCAGCAAACATATCTCAAAGACCAGTAAACTTGTAAGACTTGAGGTTCTCACAGCGGTGAGTATGAAGATTAACCCAGAAGACAGAAATCTTCATACTCATCGCCCTGATGACGGAGGCAGTATGACCTCTGAAACGTTGGTTAACATCGACCAGACTACACAGCGCAACAACCCAGAAGACGGAAATCTTCACCAGTAAACTTCTACCAGACTACTTGGAAAAACATACCAGAAGGCAGTCATCTTCATAATTACTGCTGTGATAACCTAAAATCTTAATTTGAGCCTTGCTCACTACGTGTAACAGGCTTCCCACATTTCCCTGAACATGTGAGGTCAGTGCAGTATATTGTAGTAAAGTTTCTGTTGATAAGATTGACTGGCCAATGCTGCTTTTGTAAGGCATTCAGATCTTAGAACTACAGTTATGTTACTGCAGTGTCAGACAGACCACAGGATTGAATTCCAATAGAACTTACATCTTTCAGGTTGAAATGTAGCACTTGCTTCATGAATGATGGTAACTCTGTCATGAGAGTTTCATAACCATAGTTCTGTCCCATGTGTGCCATTAGAATTGCCCAGAATGGCAATGACTTAGCAATAGACACCCAAGGAACCTTCGGTGACTGTGGAACAAAAAATGAAAATTATAAATAGAGATACTCAGAGCATCATTTCTGACATTAAATAGTGATGAGACACAACAGAACATTTTTATTAACAAAATACAAAAAAAAGGGATAATATTTCCATCTTAACAAAAGTTTATTTGTTTATTCTTAAACAACAAACTTAAAAAATCATCCACTCCTCTTTACCACACTGAATGGCATATTGCTGGTTCAAGACTGAGGAATGGACTCCTCGATCATTCCCTAGCCAAGGCATCTACATCCTAATTATCTTAAAACCCACATTACCCAGGGTCCCAGAAGAGCATAACCTTGTTCCAGAGCACACAATGCCTGTTGACATTCCCAGTCAAGTGTTACCCTTGATACCTCACTTGATACACCAAATGAAAAGGAAAACCTCTTCCCTAGTTTCATCCCACGTACACCTGTCCCATGACTTGCCAGCCATCTTGGCCCACAGATTAGCCCTTTACACTGAAGGGTCATAGGCCAGGATAATAACCAATATTCACGTAACTTTAAAGGGAGTCCCAAAAGCAATCACTGGTATCATTTTGCCCTGCACTTATGTGAAAAAGAGAGTGGCCCCATTAGCCCATTAGTCAAGAAAGGATCTGTGTATGACCTACATCCAAACCACTACGAGACCTCTGAGCCAGCCTCTGCCACTGAGTACGGGGAAGGGACACATCAAGCAGAACCACGTGAGCTGTTCTCACAGAGCCAGTGACACTTACACAGACAACCAAGTTCAACCCTGATCATTGCCAGACCAACTCTTGACTACTAACAGTTACCACATACGCAAGCACAGGCCTTACTATACCTGCATAATGCGAGTGTAAAATTTTTAGTTTAAGACCTTGGGGTCTTGCCAAGGATCTGATGACACAATCAAAATGACGACAAAGCTCTTGACTAACCCTCTGTTTCACATCCTCCCGCCATATCAGCTTCTCATGCAGGATAACTCATCTTCATAATTACTGCTGTGATAACCTAAAATCTTAATTTGAGCCTTGCTCACTACGTGTAACAGGCTTCCCACATTTCCCTGAACATGTGAGGTCAGTGCAGTATATTGTAGTAAAGTTTCTGTTGATAAGATTGACTGGCCAATGCTGCTTTTGTAAGGCATTCAGATCTTAGAACTACAGTTATGTTACTGCAGTGTCAGACAGACCACAGGATTGAATTCCAATAGAACTTACATCTTTCAGGTTGAAATGTAGCACTTGCTTCATGAATGATGGTAACTCTGTCATGAGAGTTTCATAACCATAGTTTTGTCCCATGTGTGCCATTAGAATTGCCCAGAATGGCAATGACTTAGCAATAGACACCCAAGGAACCTTCGGTGACTGGAACAAAAAAAGAAAATTATAAATAGAGATACTCAGAGCATCATTTCTGACATTAAATAGTGATGAGACACAACAGAACATTTTTATTAACAAAATACAAAAAAAAGGGATAATATTTCCATCTTAACAAAAGTTTATTTGTTTATTCTTAAACAACAAACTTAAAAAATCATCCACTCCTCTTTACCACACTGAATGGCATATTGCTGGTTCAAGACTGAGGAATGGACTCCTCGATCATTCCCTAGCCAAGGCATCTACATCCTAATTATCTTAAAACCCACATTACCCAGGGTCCCAGAAGAGCATAACCTTGTTCCAGAGCACACAATGCCTGTTGACATTCCCAGTCAAGTGTTACCCTTGATACCTCACTTGATACACCAAATGAAAAGGAAAACCTCTTCCCTAGTTTCATCCCACGTACACCTGTCCCATGACTTGCCAGCCATCTTGGCCCACAGATTAGCCCTTTACACTGAAGGGTCATAGGCCAGGATAATAACCAATATTCACGTAACTTTAAAGGGAGTCCCAAAAGCAATCACTGGTATCATTTTGCCCTGCACTTATGTGAAAAAGAGAGTGGCCCCATTAGCCCATTAGTCAAGAAAGGATCTGTGTATGACCTACATCCAAACCACTACGAGACCTCTGAGCCAGCCTCTGCCACTGAGTACGGGGAAGGGACACATCAAGCAGAACCACGTGAGCTGTTCTCACAGAGCCAGTGACACTTACACAGACAACCAAGTTCAACCCTGATCATTGCCAGACCAACTCTTGACTACTAACAGTTACCACATACGCAAGCACAGGCCTTACTATACCTGCATAATGCGAGTGTAAAATTTTTAGTTTAAGACCTTGGGGTCTTGCCAAGGATCTGATGACACAATCAAAATGACGACTAAGTTCTTGACTAACCCTCAGTTTCACATCCTCCCTCCATATCAGCTTCTCATGCAGGATAACTCTCAGGTACTTTGCCAACCCTGTGGCATGTATCATCCTGCTTAGTACAACAGGTTCCACAAACCTGTCCACTTTCTTCCTCTTGGTGAAGAACACAACTTCCGTCTTCATGGCAGATAGCTCCTCAGCCCTGAACTTACTTTGTACAATGTTCAGAGCCTTTTGATTTAGCTCTAAGTACCTGGGAATTTTCAGTTATCATCAAGACCAAGTCATCAGCGTAGCTTTGTGTGTAAAGACCCTCTCTATATAACCATACAAGAAGTCCGTCCTCCACCCGGCTCCACTGTAGTGGGGACAGACACCTTCAACCATCACAATTTGCTGGCTTCCAACCACAGCACAGATACCTTACACCACCTTATGATCCTCAGCTGCCTTGCACATGGACAAAATGGTGGTGCTGTCAACAAAACAGCCATTGCTCATCAATCTTTCCCCTTTCATGGGCCCAGCATCTACCCCACATTACTCACCCCCTTCACCGCCATAACCAACACTCCCTAATACTTGCCTTGCTTTGATTTGAAAATAATATTATTTGCACATTATGCTTATGTTAATTGCAATGTTTTTAACAAAAATGTATTAATACCACCATGTAGATTTTTAAATTTTTCCCCCAAAATCTGAAATTGAAGCAGGGAAGGGAGTGGTTCTTATTTTAAATGGGCAGGCATTTTTTTATACTTACAGAAACACCCGCAGTGCCCCAGAGTGAATTAGTAATATATTTCTTTTCATCTTCAGGAATTGTGTTTGAAGAATCAGGATCTTCAGCAACCATGAAAAGGAATGCTACTGACCACACTGCTCCAACGATACCAAATACATAGAAAATGGAAGGCCAGCCATCTGCAAAACCATACTCTGCCAGCAAACCACTCAGAGGATATGATATCACAGTTCCAAACTGTGCACCTGCAACCATCAAGAAGAAAAATTTTGAGCCCAAAAGCACAAATAACAAAGCGCTAATAATATACGAGGCTCGTCCACAAAGTAAGTTTCCCTGGGGCCGTTTACAGAAACAAAACACAATTTCATGGAAATATTTATTGC